CTCCTCCGCCTCCCAGATTCAAGGGATTCTTCTGCCTCAGCCTCCCGAGTAACTGGGATTACAGGTGCCCACCACCGTGCCCGGCTAATGTTTGTATCTTTAGTAGAGACAGAGTTTCACCATCTTGGTCACGATGGTCTTGATCTCCTGACCTTGTGATCCACCCACGTCAGCTTCCCAAAGTGCTGGGATTACAGGTGTGAGCTACTGTACCCGGCCTGAATTTATTCTTTTTATTTTTTAATCATCCTTTCTTCAGATTGCCTTGGAAGTTAGGTACTTTATTTATTTTGTTTTTTTTAGAAACACAGTCTCACTCTGTTGTCCAGGATGGTCTCAGACTCTGCCTTCACCTTCCAAAGTTGTGGGATTACACTGAGCCACCGTGCCCACCCCTCCTTGAGTGCTTTTCTTATAGCACACCCTCAACTTCCAAGGCCTGATGTTGATTTATAGCTTTATCCACCTCTCCGAAGTACTCAAGATACGAGACCGCTTCGGTGCACTTTCTCTCGAGTTGTAAGCATCGATGTGTTTTAATTTCTGTGCACTTTAGACCCCCCACATGTTATTGTCTTGTACATTGGTATTGATTTAGGTTGACTGGTTTTAGGCTGTGCCCTCTCCTTCCTCCTAGACCCCCCACGTTACTGTCCTGCATGTTGGTATTGGTTTGGGTAGACGGGTTTTAGGCTGTGCCCTCTCCTTCCTCCTAGACCCCCCACGTTACTGTCCTGCATGTTGGTATTGGTTTGGGTAGACGGGTTTTAGGCTGTGCCCTCTCCTTCCTCCTAGACCCCCCACGTTACTGTCCTGCATGTTGGTATTGGTTTGGGTAGACGGGTTTTATAGGGTTGTGCCCTCTCCTTCCTCCTAGACCCCCCACGTTACTGTCCTGCATGTTGGTATTGGTTTGGGTAGACGGGTTTTAGGCTGTGCCCTCTCCTTCCTCCTAGACCCCCCACGTTACTGTCCTGCATGTTGGTATTGGTTTGGGTAGACGGGTTTTAGGCTGTGCCCTCTCCTTCCTCCTAGACCCCCCACGTTACTGTCCTGCATGTTGGTATTGGTTTGGGTAGACGGGTTTTAGGCTGTGCCCTCTCCTTCCTCCTTTGTCTTTCTGGTTTTGTCCTTCCTTCTGTGACCACTTTTCCTCTGCCTGTGGCACAGCCTTGCGCTTTCTTGGATTTCCTTTCAGGTGACTCTGCTGGGGGTGTCCTCTCAGTCTCTGTCTGAAATGCCCTCAGTTGGCAGAGCTTTTTACTGTATGCCGTTGTCTTGGTTGGCTTTCTTTCAGCCCACTTTCGACGCCAGGCCGCCGTCCTCCGGCTTCTGGCCGTGGAGAAGTGGCTGTCAGGTGCGCTGCTGCTTCCTCGGGGGTGATCTGCCGCCTCCCAGCCCCAGCTGCCTCTGATGTTTACATTTTTAAATTTTTACATAATTTCAAAGTTAGAAGTTGCCAAAATAATCCCTGCATACCTTCTCCCAGCTTCGCCAGCGTCAGCATTTTTGCCATGTCCGCCTTGTTTTCTGTCTGGCACACGCACACACATTTCTTCCCAGCAGTTTGAGAGTGACTTGCATCTTGACCCCAGCCTGGAACAGAATGCATTTCAGCAGGGAAACACTTGGGTGCACCCACACACAAGGAGACGGTGACGGGGTCAGACTCCAGCCTCTTCAGGATAAACTTCGAAGGCACTTTGTGTGAGATGTAGGGGAGACGCAGAGGCACGGGTGAGTGAGAGTGATAGCGGATCGGGCTTGCTGCTCATTGGGAGGGGGACTTCAGTGGAAACTGCCAGCACAGAGCAGGGCTACGAGGATGGAGCGAGCCAGGGGTGACTGGCCTGATGACCACTGCCTCGGTGGCATCTCCCTGGGCTGCAGCCTGAGGGGCGGGGCAGCAAGCACAGCTGCTCTCTGGAAGCCCCACTCTCACTGAGGTGCAGGTTCACTGCCTAGTTCCTGACACCGTGGAGACCAAGCCCCTCTCTGGGGATTGGAGGAGAGACTGCAGCAGAGGGAACAGAGCATGCCCCTGAGAACCCCGGCGGCACAGGGTGGGCTGCAGAAACAGTGGACCAGCCCCAGACGGCCTTCTCACAACCTAGATTGCTTTCCGAAATTTTGTTTTTGCTTTTTGTTTAGAGACAGGGTCTTGCTCTGTTGCCCAGACTGGAGTGCGGTGGCACGATCACAGCTAACTGCTGCCTTGACCTTCTAGGCTCCACAGATCCTCCCGCCTCAGCCTCCCGAGTAGCTGGGACCACAGGGGCGCACCACCATGCCCCACTAATTAATTTTTTTTTTTGTAGAGGCAGAGTCTTGCCATCTTCCCTAGGCTGGTCACAGACTGAAAGACTTTTAAAGCAGTCATTGTTAATGGAAATTAGCAGGACTGTTTTTGCTTCTCTACTGATTCAATAGCACTTAACTTTCTGTTGTTTAAAAGGGACCTTAAATCCCTTCGCTTCTCCCGTGCAGTCACGGTTCTTGATTTTGTGTTACTGAAGGTTGCGGTCAAACCCGTTTTGACTAATTATGAGGTTGGAAATTCTAAAGTCTATTGGGTAGACAGCTAGTGTCAAATGAGGCAGCTGGTGATTTCTGGACACTTGATTCCATCTGAGCTTCCTTTTCCAGCACAGCCTTATGGTGAACACCTGATTTTGGGGTAACATCTTATAGAAATCCACTGTGTGTTACTGTGGACATGTTCCTCCTGGCGTCCCCCTGCGTGTTGACAACCAGCATGCCCTCGGGTTTCTGACCCTGGCTGTCCTCACTAGTGGCTTATGCTCTTTTCCATGTCCTGCATCTCTGGTCAGCACCACAGTCTGTGTTTCCTGTGCTTCTGCTGAGGTGGCCAGATTCAGGTTCACACCCTGGCCTCCTGCTCCCCTGCACCATGCTGGGCTTCTCTCCACAGTAGCGTCTGCCTCAAGCACCGTCGTCCTTCCCGTTCACTTCACTTGCTGGCATTCCCTGGGAGCCAGGGGCTGAGTTCATGGGTTTGGTGTCTCAGGGCAGTCCTGGGGCAGCTCTCCAGTAGATGGATGTGCACGGGGTGGATGTGGAGAACCCTGCAGAGCGCGCATCGAAGCCCCACTGCTACACTCGCTCACCCTCAAGGGGGAGTCTGCTGTGGGCGGGGCCCCGTGCTGCTGAGAACTGGGGGCACATGCCCCACTTGGTCCTTGTCGCATCCCTGCCCCAGAATGGAGGTGCAGAGAGGCCAGGTGGTGTGTCTGGCACTGTGGGGCAGTGGTTCCCCAGGTGGGGTGTGGGCAGCAGCAAGAGCGGTGATAAAAGAAAAAAATCAGCCAGAGCAGATGTAAAGAAGTTTAACTGAGCAAAACACAATTCTTGAATGGGCCGCCTCTTGAGCCAGAGCAGACTCAGAGACTCCAGCGCAGCCTTGTGGTGGTTATGGACGGGAAAAGAAAAACGGAACACGGCAGTGAGGCACAGAGACAGTCCATTGGTCACAGCTCGGCATTTGCCTTATTTGAACACAGCTCCAACAGTTAGCTACATGTGATTGGCCAAACTGGGTGACTGGCACAAGGATAGGCTGTGTTCTGTTGTCACCTCCGCTTGCCACAGTTCACGATGTACAAAGACACATTTAGGTGGATCTTAAAATATGTCAGGAGGCAACTGTAGCCTAAACTCGGTTTCGCAGTGGGTTGCCTGGACCTTGTTAGAAACGCATGGCCTTGGGCCCCACCGGAGCCATTGCTGCAGGATGCAGGGTGGCCCGGCTGGCTGTACAGATGAGCCCTAGGCATGCGGCCTCAGGGGCCATGGGCCACCTCCCCCAGGCTTGTCTGGCCTGGAGCTCCCGCTCCCTTGCTGTCACACCTGTGAAGCCATCCTGCATGCAGGCTGGTCTCGTGGCAGTCACCACGGAGTGTGTGCACCACACTTCCTGTCTCTTGATCCACCATGGGCGCTGAGGTTTTCCCATGTCTTGGCTGTTGTACCTGGCGGCTCTGTGGGGTCACTGCTACAGACTATTCCTGAATCGCGCAGTGTGATGGGACGGAGAAGCCATTGTGTTTCACCCTTTCGACCCTTCCTTTCCCATTACAAGTGAGCTCTTTAAGGTGAGCCATGGAGGGCAGCATCACTCTGCATCCTCTTGGGGTCGTGGAATACGGCCAGGTGGGCCCTGAGGTGGGTCTGTCAGAGCAGAGTCTGCTTCTTCCCACTGTCCCTGGCCCCTCCTTTCTCTGTGGAGGTTATGTGGCCAGTTAGAGTGGCCTATTGCTGCCACAACGTGCAGAGTCACAGCAGGCACAGTACTGGCAAGGCGACGTCGTGGCGGACCCTGGAGCTCTGACTGTTCCCATGCTCACTGCCATACCCCGCAGGGCACTTACCGAGACCCTGTTTTGTAGGTGGCAACATGGAGGGACAGAGTGGTAGTAGGAGCCTGCCTGAGGTGCTGAGAGGTGGGAGTTGCGTCTGGCCCAGCTGTGCTTGACCCTGTTCCAGGGTACTCTGGCCAGTAACAGAGGGAATTGACAAACCCCACTCTCGGGAGGGAGGTAGAAGGGATGGTGAACAGGTGTCCCTAAGCAGTTGGGGCGGGGCATCGTCTATGGAGATGGCGGGCGTTGGGGGGCGCCTCTCAGAGGCAGACACAGTGTCTATGTCAGACATCTCTGGACACAGTGAGCTGGAGGTGAGATGTCTGGTGTGCCCTGAGCATGCTGCCTGGCAGAGAGCAGTCTGGGGGAGCTGGATGCGGGGGTAGCAGGGACAGTGGGAAGAGCTGGTGCGAGGGAGAAGGAGCTGGGGTTGTGACTGCAGGGGAAGCCGCAATCAGCCTCCACAGGTGCCTGCCCCTGTGTTACAGGGATGGGAATTGAGGACATGGCCAGTTGAGGGTGGCCTCAGCCAGAGCTGTTTGTGGTGTGGTGGAGGGTGTTGGAGAAGGAGAAGCAGGGGGTTGAACCCCCGGGAGGTGAGAGGGTGGGGCCCGCACATGAGGGTGGCACGTGCCCAGCGTGGCTGTGGAGGGCGGGAGAGTGCTGTTGGCTGGGGAGGCGGCACATGGGTGAGTGCCCACCAGGGAGGTGGGGCCGGGAGGCCTGGGCCTCGGGCACTCTCTGCCCTTTGCATCCTCTCCTGTGAGCCTGGGGTTATGCTGTAACGGGAGCCAGAGAGGCTGGGTGCTGGCCCACCCTGTCCTGGGGAGCTCGTCCTGCCTCTGTGTTTCATTTTTTGGTTTATGTAACATTTTTCTTCATTGTTGAAAGAGAGACTATAAGAGTCAAGTCACATGCTTCACCTTCAGTGAGGAAAAGTAGCACTGAAGCTTCCACCCCTTCCCGCAGGGGCCTGTGTGCTGGACCCGGACCCTCATGTCTTCCTTTCTTTGTCCGAAACAAAAATGGGCTCTTCCTCTTTTCTGGGTCGTGCCTGATGGCACCACCTGCAGGCCCTGCATTTGGACACAGCCCTCCTGTGGACAGAACTGGACTCCAGTTTCTCTCTCCTTTCTGTGAGTGGTGGTCCACTCCACGCCACTGCGGTGCTTGGGGCAGAGCAGCAGGGCCCACGCTGACCCCTCTCTCCGGTGCTTGTGTCTGAGAAGGGGCACCCATCTCACCTCTGGCCTGATAGGTTTCGCCCCTGTCTAATTGTCCCCTTCCCCTACAGGGCGGGCGGGCGGGCAGGTGGGTGAGGGGCGGGTGCCGGTCTTTCCCTTCCCCCCCGCCACTCCATCAGCGGCGTGTGGTTTCAGGTGCCTTGGGCTGCTCTGGTTATTGGGAGGCAGAGTGTCCTAGTGTCCTAGTGACCAACCGTCTCCTGTGATTGGCTCCCCGGGGCCTCAGGACGCCTTGCTTCTGATTCATGTGGTCACCGCTGAGCAGTGGGTATTTTGGGTACTAAGGTGATGCGGGGGGGGGGGGAGTGTCACAGTCAGACCCAGAGAGACCTAGAAAGCAGCCAGTACTTGGTACCTTCTGTTTGCACAACTGGAAGATTCAGCTTCTCTGTGGTCACTTGGAGCAGAGCTTGCCACAGAAGTCTTTTTTCTGGTCACCTTGGTTCTGTTGAAAATGATTGCTCAAATGGTACATTCAGAAGTACTTGGGTCACTGCCCCCTGTTGGTGTGGACCCTCCTTTTGGACAGCCAGGAGGTGACTTTTCTGACCTTGCTATGCCCAGGAGCATCCAGGAGTGTCCAGGGGCTGGTGTCGGATTCCCTGGGGAGTGCTGCAGCCTTCTGCCCACTCAGGACACTCTGGAGGTCAGCATTGCCATTTTATAAGTGGGAAATGCAGAGAGGTGACATCATGGGCCAGGGCCCTGCAGCTGGGAATTGAGCCCAGGCCGTCTGGTTGATAAGTGGCAGCCCTCTCTGCTTCGAAGCCCCTCGTGCTTCCGTGAAGGCACTGCCTCTGAGGAGGGTCCAGGTCGATCCCCACACTCTGCTCCCAGGAGCACTCCTGAGGCCTCTAGTCCCTGAAGGGCCAAGGAGTGCACTTGTGGAGAATGGGGGCCTAGACCAGGGTGCCAGGGAACCCTCTCAGGGCTGATAGAGAGAGGGGCATTCTCTAGGACTTGGGGACACGACCGGCCACTGCCATGGGAATGCAGTGCCACAGAGGCTGAGGCCAGTCTCCACCAGAGGGCACTGCTGGCTGTTTGGAGGGAGCGGGTGCTGGGCACAGCCACCCTGCAGGGTTCTGGCTGTGAGCACAGTGGTTGGGGACCACTCTGGAGCCCTGACACGTGAGTGTGACTCCCTCTGTGAGTCCCTCTGCCACTGTGGGGTCGAGCTGGTGAGCGCAGAGGAACACACCAGCTGCCTGGGGCAGAATGGGAGTGGGGTGCCAGTGCTGCACAGGAGAACACACGAGTGCACACGCGCTTGAGGAGGCGGGTGTCCAGGACTGTCCCTTTACCAGCCGTGTGGTGCAGCCGTGGTAGGAGAGCTCGTGTGCCCCCTGAGTCAGCACCAGCTGACAGTAGAGCCTTCACCTCTGACGGCGAGGAAAGGTATTGTCTCCATCAGACCCCTCCGTCCTCTTTACTTTAACCTCCCTGCCCCACTGCTGCAGTCCCGTTTGAGGGCCTCCTGGCACCTGTCAGGACAAGGGCCTCTAAGCCCTGGAGGCAGGCAGTGCCTGCGCCTGGCACCATGTCCAGCTTGTAATGGGGGCCAGTGTTTGAGTACCTTTTCTGAAGGGGGCACCGGGAGGAGGTCTGCATTTGCCCAAGAGTCAGCCCTGGGCTGTGGTCACTTGTTGAGGTCCCTCTAAAGGTAGTGCCCTGCTGAAGAGCTGCCGTCCACTGCTGTCCCCACTCTCACATTGTGTGGGGACCTGGGGCCTGTCACTGCCGAGATTGGGGCTCCCTGTGGCTCTCCCCATCAGGGTGGGACTCTCTGAACCTCACAAGCTTGTTCCACGGTTATTGCCAGCAGACTTGTGGCTGAGCTTGCATGCTGGCATGGATTTGGGGCCCGCACACTCTGTGCTGCAGCTCAGAGCTCCTGCTTGGTGGGGCTCCTCAGGAGCCTGCTATGTGAAGAGAGAAGCAGTGCGGGTGCTGTGCAGCAGCTGTCGGTGTGGGCCTCCGGAAGGGCAAGCCCGCGGCCTGCGGTGATGAAAGGCTCTGCCATGGTGCCCTTGCCATTCCTGGGTGCTCCTGTCCCGCCGGCACGCCATAGAGCAGAGAGACAGGGCTCTGGCTGACCGGCACCAGGGAGCCTGTGCTGGCCCTGCCTCCCGACCCCACCTGGGACAAGCAGCGGGGAGTTTTGAAGAGGCAGAAAGCCCCAGGAGCAGAGAGGACAGAGGAGTCGAGAGCAGACCCATTTTGGAAGCTGGAAAGCTGAGGCTCAGGTGGAGTGAATGCAAACGCAGGAAAGCTGAACTCTGACCAGCAGGGGAAGTGTTTTCACAGCGGAGCTGCGGGTGGTTCCATGCGGAGTCTGGGAGCCCCCTGGATGGAGGCTGGAGGTGTGTTCAGAAGCAGCTGTACACCCCCTTCACGTCCGATCTAACTCTGGAGGATGAGTCTGAGCGTGTGGGATGGTAGCACTGTCCGCTGACACCCTGGCGCAGTGGAGGGTGTCACCCTGCACGTGAAGCCTTGACAGCTCTCCACGTCCACCGTGCGACATCCCGTTCCTGCCTCTCCCACGTGGGTCCTCAGGACCCCAGCAGCTGAGATCGACCCTCCAGGCAGAGAATGGGAGAAAAAAATCTTTGGACCTTGAGAATGGGGAGCAGGGCCTGCCCCGTGTTCCCTGGTGTTCTGAAATGTCACAGTTGTGTTCCCTGATGTGGCCTCTTCATTCATTGACGTGGATGTTGGGTGTGGGTGAGTCCCTTCAATCTGGTAAGTCATTTCCTGTGTTGCTGGGAAGGTGTTGAACAGAGCCAGACTCCCCCAGTGAACCCCCACCAATGTGCACCTAGAGCCATTAGTGAGCTCTGCGGTGCCCCCCAGCCACGTGTGATGTGAGGGGCAGGGGTCACCAGATAGACCAAAGCAGATGAGAAAGCAGGAAGCCAGCCTAATCCACAGTAAAGCAGAGCGTCTGTGAGTCTCTTCAGGGTCGTAGCGACCATGAGAAGGAAGAGCAGACTTGTACAGCAAGGAGCGTCGGCCCGCGGCAGAGAGCGCCTGTGCAGGAGGGCCAGGCAGCAAGCAAGCAGTGGCCCATGGTGCTGGGTGCCCTTCCAGCAGGCAGGCCACGGGCGTGGACGGCAGGAGTGCGAAGGCACAAAAACCGAGCGTCAGACGGGTCTCTGCAGCTTGGTAGGAGTTCCAGGAGGAGCAGGAAACAGAAGGGAGGAAATTGTCAGAGGAACGCCACAGTTTCCAGAATCACAGATTAAATCAGTTCACATGGCGTCCAGCACAGCGAATGAAAAGGCCACGGCAGAAGACACCAGGGATAGAGCTTCCAGAGGGAACGGCAACACGCAAACCCTGTCGTCTGTTTTGTGCTGCTGAAACAGAATACCCGACACTGGGTGGTTTACAGGGGACGGAGGTTCGTTTCTTATAGTTTGGAACTCCAAGATAGAGGGTCCCACGTCTGGCAAGGGCCATTGTGCAGTGTCACCCTGTGGGGGAGGGCAGAAGGGAAGAGGTGGAGATCACAGCCCGAAGCCCTTTCAGGACCGCATAATCCATCCGGAGGGCAGAGCCTCAGCCGGCTCCTGATCACCTCCCACCAGCTGCGGCACCACGTGCTTGTGGGGGCACGTTCAGACTGCAGCAGCAGCTCGTCTGCAGTGTACGGAGAATCAGAATGTCGCCTCCCACCTGGACACTAGAAGGTGTCTTCAGAATGCTGTCAGAAAAGCGTTTCCATGGTAGACTTTAGCATCAGTTCACTCATCAGTCATGTGAGGGGTGGATGAAAATATTTTCTGATGTGTGAGTTCTGAAAAAGGTACTTCCCAAGTGCCCCTTCAGGAAGTTCTGAGATGAGAGGAAGAGTCTAAGGCTGTGGAGAGAGGGGGCAGCGGGCGGCAGGCTGGGCGGGGGGCGGCAGGACCCTGTGTGTGGCTGTGCCAGCAGCAGGGAGTCAGATGCGATTCTCACCCCTGGTCTTCAGGAACTGCTTGGAGCCTGCCAGGGAGGCCCAGGGCCCTGTCCCAGCCGTGTTTTCGCTGGGGGCAGCCTTGCCTCAGGCCCGTCTAGGGTCTTCCACATTCTGACGGGCTGTGCCTGCCTTCATCGTGAGCAACTTGAGTGATAGCACCTTGCCTCAGACTGGCAGAGTGGCGCCAGTGGCCTGCAGTCTCAACACGCACGTGAGTTCATGGCACCTGCCTGCGCTTTTTATTCTCCCCTGTTCTACATGCAGTGTCTACTTGTTAAGGACATTTTGAGGGGAAAACCGGTTTACTTCTTAAAACAGAGGGAAATTCAACCTTAGCCCTGTGTTCCATCCTGAAGAAAGTTCTAATGACAGAGTGAGTCATCCCGGCTCCGATGCTGCCACCTGATGGGGCGGCCGCCAAGCGCCCCAGGCCGTCTCCTCAGTTGTCGCCCTGTTTGTGCCTCAGCGGCTTCTGCTTGGATTGGACAAGTTGCGTGTGTGAGCAGCTGTTTTTTTGTGATACAGGATCTTGCACACCCACGGTGGGGAGGTACATCCAGGAGGCCAGCAGCTTCAGACAGCACCAGGAGGCAAGGCTGGCGATGTGCCAGGCTGTCTCCTGCAGTGTGAAGAGTCATGATTCCCAGTGATAGAAGCGTCCCAGGAACTTCAGCCTCCTGAGTAGCTGGGGCCACAGGGGCACGCCACCGCACCTGGCTGATCTTTACATTTTTTGTGGAGATGGGGTCTCACTGTGTTGCCCAGGCTGGTCTTGACATAGGCTAAGAGCTCCTCCTGCCTCAGCCTCCCAAAGTGCTGGGATTACAGGCGTGAACTACCATGCTCCGGCTGGAGGCAGCTGTATTGAAGGCATCATTCACATACGGCAGAATTCTGTGATTTCAAGCATACAATTGAGTGAGTTTTGGCGAACCTATAGGTCTGTATGGGCAGTGCCTGTAGCCTGTGCCATCCTCAGGAAAGCCCCTCATCTGCCCAGAGGTTTTACCTCTCTAGAACACGGGGCGATGCCCCCCAGCCCCACTGACTTCCACATGGCTCTCTCCATTCTAGAACATGGGGCGATGCCCCCCTAGTCCCACTGCCTTCTGCGTGGCTCTCTCTGTTCTAGAATGTGGGGCGGATGTCCCCCGCTGTCTTCTGTGTGGCACACTCCATTCCAGAACGTGAGGTGGATGCTCCCTGTGGCCCTGCTGTCTTCTGCGTGGCACACTCCATTCCAGAACGTGAGGCGGATGCTCCCTGTGGCCCCGCTGTCTTCTCTGTGGCACACTCCATTCCAGAACGTGAGGCGGATGCTCCCTGTGGCCCTGCTGTCTTCTGCGTGGCTCTCTCTGTTCTAGAATGTGGGGCGGATGTCCCCCGCTGTCTTCTGTGTGGCACACTCCATTCCAGAATGTGAGGCGGATGCTCCCTGTGGCCCTGCTGTCTTCTGCGTGGCTCTCTCTGTTCTAGAATGTGGGGCGGATGCACCCTATGGCCCCGCTCTCTTCCATGTGGCGTTCCCACCCTTCTGGGGAGTCTGCACGCCTTGTGTGCCGGTCAGTCCTCTTGGTGGTGGAGCTTAGTGCAGATTCGGTGACTGACATCTCCACTCCCCGCAGGGAGCATCTGAGGCCCAGTTTTGAGCCGTCATTACCAGATTCCTTTGATTCCTCACAACGGGCCTCCAGGTGCATAGTGAGGCGGGCATCGTCCGGTGTGTGAGGTTTTCAGGAAACTGAAATGTTTTGCTGTAGATAGTTTTTAGAAATCTAAGTTAGGGTATAGATTGTACCCATTTTTTTTTCAATTATAAAAGGAAGATTAGTGAATATTTTATGTTCTCCACATTCTGAGGAGCTTCTCGCTGGGGGTGCCCAGCCCTGGCTGCCATTGGAAGGTCTTGTCTTCACTTGTTTCTGAGCTAGGAAAATTGATCTTCTTACGTTTATTGATCATTTGTAGTGTTTTTCTGCCTGGGGATGGTTTTTTCTTTGCCCCTTTTTTGGCGGAGAGGGCGATGTTCACTTTGTTCTTATTGATTTGCAAAAGTCCTATTTGTCTATGAGGAGCTCACTCACTCAAATACTTTCAGGTTCCAGCTGCCAGCACCGGCCCTGTTTTCAGCTCCCAGGACTGAACAGAAGATCACCCACTGCCCCGTTTCCCACTCCCGCTTCTGCTCCTGTTGGACTGACAGACCCAGCAGGACACGGAGTGAATGGCATGGCTGGTTGAGGTAGAGGCTGGGGTCTCCTAGGTGACACTGGGCAGAGGCTGGCAAGAATGACGTTGGGGGCAAGGGAACAGCCTGGGGACTCCTGGGGCTGAGGACTCAGGGGCAAGGCCGGCCTGAGGGGCACATGGGTGACCCGGAGAGGGAGAGACAGGCCCCAGTGACTTGGGTTTGAGGAGGATTCTCTGGCTGAGGCCTGAGTCTGGGCCAGGGTCGTCCAGGTGGCCAGTGCAGAGACTGCGCGGAACTCACCATGCATGAGGGACTGGGCTGCCGGGCCAGGCCTTGTCCTGCAGTGGGACAGCCGTTGCACCCCTGTGTTCCCGAGGGTGCCCTGTGCTGTGTCCCCTCCCTGTGCGGCCTCAGCCATGGACCCCCACTTAAGGAATCTGAAGTATGGGCAGTGGTACCTCCCACGCTAGTTTTTCGTCTTGCCTTGTGTCTGTCTCCTTTGGAATGTGGGGTACTCCCACATGTGACGCTTTTCCTCCAGTTTCAAAGATGAAAACAGCGTTTCCAATTAGAGGGGAATGTGCTCTGAGGAGCTGCCCACCTGCCCGCCTGCTGCTCTTTTCCCCTGGGAGTGGGCTTCCGGGTCTTCAGTCCAATTCCTCCCTCCCAGCCTTCCGGAGCTCACCATGGTACCCTCTTTACCAGACACCTCGGGCTAGAGCCCTGCCCCGGGTGCACCCCACACCCAGCATCCACAGCAGGACAGGCAGGATGGTATTTGTTCCAGCTGTCAACTCACGGGGTCTGCGCAGTGACTTTTGACCACACCCTTTGCAGTGTGGCCGGTGTGTGCCTGGAACCTGCCCTGCCCACCCAGAGCCACCTGTGCACACATCAGGAGTGCCCATTCTCCCACAGGCCTGTGGAGGGGAGGGCAGGGCACCGTCACCATGCCTCTCTTGGGTTGTGTCCGTCTCTGGAGACCCCCCAGCACTCCAGAGCGCAGGGCACACTCCGTTTCTGTCTGGCATTTTTCTAAGGAAAAGCTGTTTCTCAACTGATGTCAGCAGTTGTTGGGGAAAAAATTTTTGACAAAAACATTGATTTCCAGTTTTTCTGTTTGAGCCCCTGCAGGCCAGGTGGCCATGGCGGCACCCCTGGTCAGGCCTGTGACCGAGAGGGTCCCCACAGTCAGAGATCATCCGGGGCCGGCAAGTGGGCACTTTGGGCTGACTTCCCACCAGCTCCAGGGGACTCTGCGGGGGCAAGGAGTGGTGTGCTCTTGCAGGCCACTGCTCCTCCCTCGTGGAGCTCCCAGCTTCCTTCCTTTGCCACTCAGCCTGGGCTAAATTTTGCAGCCAAGGATTTTATACTAGCCAGAAAGGGGCAGGGTGGCCTGGCAGAGCTCCACCACCCTGTTCCTAGGCAGCCCGGGCGCTGGCTGCCTTTGCTCACTCCTGCTGGGTTTGGTGAAGCTGGGGGTGGGGAGAATGCAGTGACAGAGGGGCAGGGTCTCACCTATCCCTTGCCTTTTCTGAGCCTGTGAGCTCCTGAGGGATCGTGAGCCCTCTTGTTTGTTTTAACCACCAATCCACGCCCTGCCACCTTGCTATGAGCAGGTGAGTGTGGGGGCTCCTTCACTTTCTTCAGCGGCATGATAGATGGGGGCCCTTAAGCCCTCTCACCTATCCCCCAGGCCAAGGGTTTGCCTCGAGCCAAATTTGGGCTTCAGGAGGCAGAGGGGTCAGGGATCGCTGGAGGCCCCTGCCCTCCAGAAGTCAGTGGTGGCTGGGGGCCAGCAGAATGACTAGGCAGTCTCCAGTAGCCACTGTAATCGTTTGGAGTTTGGCTTGACTTGAACTTGAAATGGACAATTTTGGAGGTGTGGTGGTGCATTACTCTGCCTTCTAAATTTATACTGAAATCTTTGCCCGGCCCTCCTGCTGATGGCTCCAGGCAGCTCTTTCTGCATGGCCTCCGCCTGGCTCCTGGCCTCCTGGCAGTCTGTGATCACCCTCACCCCAGGAGGACACTTGACCTCCAGCATGGTCCCGCATGTCTTCCTGGATGTCCTGTGGCCCCCCAGGCTGTGCTGTGGAAGGCGTACTATCTGAGGGTGCGAGGCCTGTGGCGTGTCTGGGACTTCCTTTAGGGCTGGGAGGACCCTGGTTTGCTTCAAGCATGCTTGCAGTGCCACCTCAGGTCTCAGGTGTCCGTGGATGTTGGCACCTCCAGGTCAGCTGTGGAAGAGAAGCCCTTTGCACTGGAAAGAGGGGCTGTCACTGTCTCCTACCGGGTGGCGTGGAAGAAAGCTGATGTGTTTCGGGCATTTTCCTCTTTGGTATGAGGCTTGTTGGCCAGCGTGCTAGGAGCAGGGATGGGTTTGGGGTAGACTTGATGGCACTTTCTCCTCTGCCCCTTCCTCTGCTGACTGGGCTGTGGGAACTAGAAGGGCAGTGCTCACTTGGGAACTGGAGGCAAGCCAGGGACAGGATGGGCTTGTGCTACACTCTGGGCCGAGCATGTAGGAATAAGCCCCTTTCCCTTCCACATGCTACTGTCCCCTTTTGGGGGACAGTCGTGTGTGAAGGCTGGAGCCAGGCTGCCAGCACAGGGGTCAACAGGAATGGCCTTGGCTGCTGTGTGAGGAGAAGCTTGGGGCTTAAGGGTTCGTGCACACCCCTGCACCAGTGGCTCTCCCTGCAGAAACCTGACCCCCTCTGGCTACCCGCTTCTAATCCAGACTGCGACTTCCTGGTGGCCTGTGGTCTCCTTTTGATTTGTGTTGCTCATGGGCGCGTGTGTCCTGTGCGGTCTCTCCGAGACTCCACCTCGGGTTTTGCTTGCCTCTGATGCGCAGTGTGGGGCTCCATGTGGCGCTCCTGACTGTCCAGAGTCACAGAGCAGCTTTTCTGAGGGGGCTTCTGGGACATTTCTATCACCAGGAGTAGTGACTTCTCATGTTGCAGGGGGCGAGCCTGGCGTATTGCCGGCCTTGCCTCCTGGAACTGTCCGAGCTGCTGGCTTGTGGCCCCCTGTGGGTGTGTGTTCACTGGGGGTTGTGGCTGGGGATGGGGTTGAGGATCCTTGGCCCCAGGCCCTAGGATGGTTTGCCCTCCAGGTGGCCCTGGGCCTTTCCCATTCCCAACATGTGGCTTGCTTGCTTCCATCTTGAAAACACAGGCACAGCTTCTGTGACTGTGAAATAGTTCACTTAAAAGCAACTGAGGCCAGGCGTGGTGGCTCACACCTGTTATCCTAGCACTTTGGGATGCCAAGGCGGGAGGATCACTTGATCCCAGGAGTTGGAGACCAGCCTGGACAACATAATGACACATCGGTCTCTACAAAAGAAATTTAACAATGAGCTGGGTGCGGTGGCTCACACCTGTAAACCCAGCACTTCGGGAGGCTGAGATGCGAGGATCACTCAAGCCCACGAGGTGCAGGCTGCAGTGAGCGGTGATCGCACAACTGCACTCCAGCCTGGATGACAGACTGAGACCCTGTCTCAAAAATAAAATAAAATAAAATAAACGAAACAGCAAAAAAACAGTTGGGAACTATGCAGTTGAACCCACGGTAAGCACCATTTAGCAAAAATGAAGCATGAGCACAGCCGTCCTGTGTTGTAGAAACATTGCTGAACGCTTCCTTTCGGCTGTTAGGGATGAAGCGTAGCACACACAGGAAAGCACACAGGTGAACAGACACCGGCCCGTGATGTGCAGTTGGAAAGCTGGCCGCGCCTGGCCCCTGCGCCCCTCCTCTGCGCCCCCAGCCCCTGCGCCCTCGGCCCCTGCGCCCCTCCTCTGCGCCCCCAGCCCCTGCGCCCCTCCTCTGCGCCCCCAGCCCCTGTGCCCCTCCTCTGTGCCCCCAGCCCCTGCGCCCCTCCTCGGCGCCCCTCGCCCTCACGCCCCTCCTTGGCGCCCCTGGCCCTCGCGCCCCTCCTCGGCACCCCTCCTCTGCGCCCCCAGCCCCTGCGCCCCTCCTCTGCGCCCCCAGCCCCTGTGCCCCTCCTCTGCGCCCCCAGCCCCTGTGCCCCTCCTCTGTGCCCCCAGCCCCTGCGCCCCTCCTCGGCGCCCCTCGCCCTCACGCCCCTCCTTGGCGCCCCTGGCCCTCGCGCCCCTCCTCGGCACCCCTCCTCTGCGCCCCCAGCCCCTGCGCCCCTCCTCTGCGCCCCCAGCCCCTGTGCCCCTCCTCTGCGCCCCCAGCCCCTGTGCCCCTCCTCTGTGCCCCCAGCCCCTGCGCCCCTCCTCGGCGCCCCTGGCCCTCACGCCCCTCCTTGGCGCCCCTGGTCCCTGCGCTCCTCCTCGGCGCCCCTCCTCTGCGCCCCCAGCCCCTGCGCCCCTCCTCGGCGCCCCTCCTCTGCGCCCCCCGCCCCTGCGCCCCTCCTCGGCGCCCCTCCTCTGCACCCTCGGCCCCTGCGCCCCTCCTAAGCGCCCCTTCTCTGCGCCCCCAGCCCCTGCGCCCTTGGCCCCTGCACCCCTCCTCTGCGCCCCCAGCCCCTGCGCCCCTCCTCGGCGCCCCTCCTCCGCGCCCCCAGCCCCTGTGTTCCTCCTCTGCGCCCCCGGCCCCTGCGCCCCCAGCCCCTGCATCCCTCCTCTGCGCCCGCGGCCCCTGGCATCAAGCCAACTTCGAGCTTGCTGTTGTGGAGTCACACAGCCATTCCCCTGCCTTGTTTGCTGCCGCCATTCACTTGTCTGTGGGTTCACCTGTGGTGATGTGCAGGCCCAGAGTCCAGGTTTGTCCTTGAGGTGTGGACTCTGTGTGTGTGTTTGATCAGCTTTCTAGAGGTATGATCAGTAAAATCACCAATGTGGAGCATGCACTTTTTGGTATGTGTAGGTTATATGCAATAAAGTGTATGCTTTGGTGTCTTCTGACAAATGCAGGTGTCATAACCACCCACAGTCACGATGCAGGATGTCTAAAGGCCTCAGCAGCCCCTTTGAAGCCCCCAGCCCCAACTCCTTGACACACCCTCGGCAGCCATGGGGCTGCTTCTAGCACTATTGATCTGTTTTTGCTGGACTCTCACGTTAATGCAG